GGGGAGATGTTCCAGGGATGTTTGGCCCTGATGAAGCTGAAGAGCAGAACGCAGCTGGATCAATCACGCCTGCTTGTCTCTCACTCTGCAAACCAGAGAACAAAACTGACACTGAGCATTATCAGTGTAAAACACTTCAATTCCCTTTCACACGAGAAGCACCTGCAGGTGCTGGTGAGTGTTTTGCAATCAGATCTGCTTTGTCTCCTCGTACGTAGGGATGGGAAGGAAAATTGCCCAAAATGTCCCAAAGTCGAGGCTGTTTAAATTAACCTTTTAACTGGCTGAAATTATAGAAATCTTCATCTGAAAGCCCCCTTGTTGCAATCAGGATTTGGCGCTCCTTCTCCTCCCTGATGAAGGAGCATTCAGTGGATAACAACCCAAAGGATGCAAACTTGGCTTCAGCAGGGATCCAGCTCCTGGGTGAGGTCAGGATTTGCTTTTCCAGCGTGGAAACCTCTGCCAGCAATGTGGTGCAGGCAGGTTTAACATCTCTGACCTCAGCTGATGTCAGATTCACCCTTGCCTCAGACTGGAAAATAACATTGTTAGCTCTGGGCATGGCTGGGAGCTGCAGGAACTGCAACTTCTTGGAGGAAGACATGGAAATCTTTCCATTATTGCATCCAATACCTGATATGGCAAAGGGATCCTGAAGATTGTGACTCTGACAGGACAAAAATTGCTCTTGGAAAGCTGTCTCCTCAAGATATTGAAGAAAAACACAGCATTTCAGTAAATCACTGTGTCTTTACTTTGGTTTCCTCACCTGCCAGGCTCTTGTGAGGCTCCTAAGTCCAGATTTTTTTGAGCTTTATAATAATGAATTAGAAATAATTTTATATCATTTTATATATTTTGTAAGCATTTTATACAATCATAGAAAATGTCCCAGTGTGTTTCTGCTCTTTATCATAACGAGTGATCTATCCATGTTTCAGTAAAAATTATTAAAGATTTTTTTGAGTTTTATAATCATGAATTAGAAATAATTTTATATCATTTTATATATTTTATAAGCATTTTATACAATCATAGAAAATGTCCCAAAGTGTGTTTCTGCTCTTTATCATAACGAGTGATCTCTCCATGTTTCAGTAAAAATTATTAAAGATTTTTTTGAGTTTTATAATCATGAGTTAGAAATAATTTTAGATAATTTTATATATTTTATAAGCATTTTATACAATCATAGAAAATGTCCCAAAGTGTGTTTCTGCTCTTTATCATAACGAGTGATCTCTCCATGTTTCAGTAAAAAATATTAAAGATTTTTTGAGTTTCATAATCATGAGTTAGAAATAACTTTAGATAATTTTATATATTTTATAAGCATTTTATACAATCATAGAAAATGTCCCAAAGTGTGTTTCTGCTCTTTATCATAACGAGTGATCTATCCATGTTTCAGTAAAAATTATTAAAGATTTTTTTGAGTTTTATAATCATGAGTTAGAAATAATTTTAGATAATTTTATATATTTTATAAGCATTTTATATAATCATAGAAAATGTCCCAAAGTGTGTTTCTGCTCTTTATCATAACGAGTGATCTCTCCATGCTTCAGTGAAAATTATTAAAGAGATTCTTTCTTGAATTAAGTCAGTAGTCAAGCAGTTCATGTTGTACAAGTGCTGAATCAGATCTGAAGTTTCCTTTGTTTTGTCAAGTATTTCATTATCAGAAATTTAAACTGTGCTGAGGCAGCCCCTTCCAGAAATGTGCACAGAATTCAAAATCAGCATTGTTTGCTTTGCTGAGAGAAAATATTTTATCTTTTAAGTCCTTTTTCATAAAGAACAACACAGAGAAAAATTCTTCGAGAGTTTCAGCTACTTGAAACTTCAGGAAAACGATAATCCCCTGCTGCATGGGAGAAAATATCTGCTTATTACCCTCTAATTTCCTTTAAAATTTCCACTTTTGTCTGGCAGAAACCACTGTTAAAAAGAGTGAAAATAAAGGAAAGTGGTACACATTTATTGGCCATATCAGCCCAGTCTCATGTCAGGCATTAAACAATAATTTCTCTTAGGAAATGCCATGATCCACATTTAGCAGTAAATGCTACTTTCCCTTTACCTTTCCCTGAGGATTAAATGGTTTCACTAGTGAAGAAACAACTGAGCAATAACAGCATAAAAAAAATAAAATCAGCCTTGCTTTTAACTGCTTTGTAAAACATGGCAGAGGTTGCTACCTGGGAAAATTGTTCATTTCTGCTGGTGGGTAAAGCAGCCAAACCTTTGCTTTGCCTTCATCACAGCCAATATTTCATTAACTGTGCTGACATCCTCATATTTACAGCTTATTTTTCTTAGAAAAGAAGTTATTTTAGGACAGAACGCAAATGAGAGCAATGTAAGAGACATCACAATAAATCTAATTTCCACATTTAACCCGCTGCATCTCTGTGGGCTCGGGGCAGGTTGTCCTGACCTCTATTTAAGGGCTGCTCAGGATCCTTTAGGGGACCCATCTGCTGTGATTGAAGCGCACAAAACTTTCATTAGAGACTCCTGGGCTGGATAATAATTTCAAGTTTGGAAGGCTCAGACAGTGAAGGGCAGAGAAGCAGAGATGGTGGCAGGGCTGGAGCAGAGGCTGCTGCTGAAGGAAAGGTCTGGAAGTGCAGAACTTTGTGCTCAGGAAATCTCATTTTTTGGCAAGAAAGGAATGGGAATTGGGTCCTGCACATCCAGGACACCAACCCACTGCAGCACTGGGGTGGATGTGAGAGCAACCTGCTTGCTTTGCAGTAATTGCAAGTGCCATTGCTTTTACATTGCAATAATCCCAGCGACTCCCTGGATCCCTGGACATGAAGCAGGAACTGGTAGCTGAGGAGCAGAAATTTATTAGATGAGAATATAAAATATTTTGTGACAGATTATGGGGGTTTTCCAGTGCTGAGCAGAGAAATACTTTTGGAAATAAGGAGAATACAAAATTTTTTGTGATATTTCAGATCACTGAGGTTTTCCAGGACTGAGCAGAGAAATCCTTTTGGGAATAAGGAGAACACAAAATTTTTTGTGATATTTCAGATCACTGAGGATTTCCAGTGCTGAGCAGAGAAATCCTTTGGAAATAAGGAGAACACAAAATTTTTTGTGACATTTCAGATCACTGAGGTTTTTCAGTGCTGAACAGAGAGATCCTTTGGAAAATAAGGAGAATACAAAATGTTTTGTGATATTTCAGATCACTGAGGTTTTCCAGGACTGAGCAGAGAAATACTTTTGGAAATAAGGAGAATACAAAATGTTTTGTGATATTTCAGATCACTGAGGTTTTCCAGTGCTGAGCAGATAAATACTTTTGGAAATAAGGAGAATACAAAATATTTTGTGATATTTCAGATCACTGAGGATTTCCAGTGCTGAGCAGAGAAATACTTTTGGAAAT